AGCTTATAATAATGATAATAGTCATTTATTAATATCATTTTAGAGCAAACTTATTTTCGCGCTGGCTGGCGGCTGACTTTTCAGTTGACCAAATCCGTTATTATGCTGGTTAATGGTTAATAATCACAATATTGTTTGTAGTCGTTTCATACAGCATTCTCAATTACGTTTAACAAGAAACGTCTTTTGTCCCACGTTACGTTTGTTCTGAACATATCTTAAATACGTTTGCTTTCTACCTATCTTTGACATTTCTTTTCTAGCTTATAATAATGATAATAGTCATTTATTAATATCATTTTAGAGCACACATTTGAAATCGACGATCGGGTTTGATATCCTATGGTTAAATTAAAATCAGTAGGCGAGGCTGTAATTTCGCCAGCTGCGAGGCAGAGTTTTAACATGCCAAAAAGCTGCTGTGTCGTTTATTGCACCTCAAACACCTCAAACTTCCTCTAAGGACAGCAGAAGAGCTCTGTGGCTTCAGGCTTGATCGCCGTTCAAATGACAGCGTTGGTTTCCCCAAAAGTGGGTGGGGCTGTGACGTAGATTTTACTCTCATCTATTATTCAAAACCATTCTATTTAATCCAAACGTAAATTACATGCCAGTGTTTTATCTTTTTATTAAGCGATTTGTTTATGTTGTTTAACTCATAGATATATATAAACATATGTTTTTATATATATCTATGGTTTAACTGGGAATGTTTTCACATTGAACCAGAAGTACCTCACTTCACTTTGTCTTCTTCATCCCTTTTACGTTCGAGACAATGCATGGCTCAGCGTAACAGACTGAACAGCGACCCCAGGTGTGTCTACATTGGAATTACATCTTCATTACTGAAGGAAAAATACTTTACCTTGTGTTTGTTAACTGGGTTTTTAATGCAGTTGGCTTTTCTTAATGGTTACAATATTGCTATGAGTTACAGTATATATCTGAAGCAAATTATGTTTCTGAAGATGTGTAGTCAATTCCACCCTTCAATGTAGCATAAATGTGAACTCTCATTACAGGAACAATACCGGAAACAGACGTAGGAAAGATCCTCAGCTCGCAGATTGGATGTTCTAGCCGCAATGCACGTTGGGATATGGTGTTTATGCGATGTGAAATCCGAAAACATTAAAAAAAATAATAATAATACTTTATTCCGAGTGTTCTTGCTTTTCTCTTTGAAAGTCATCACATAACGGCATTGTAATACACGGTTCGGCTGCATTACATATTACACATCTGCCATAGTTCTTTATTTATAGAGCCCTGATGAGAAGACTTCTGGACAAACAGGAAGAACTGCCGCCGAAACTGAATACGTGACGTGGATCATAAATATATCAACAATTAAACAACATCTTACATTTCTTTTCACAAAATACGTCTCCTTGCAGTATCAATACTAATACGGCTGACTTTTATATTTGATCCAATTGGTAGATAGGTTATATTTACACCATAACGGTGCACAGCTGATAGAAAAGGACTTGTAGTTTTTAAAGATATTACTGATTTTCTTTGAATATAAGAATGTAAATACTGAGTTGAGAGAATAGTCAGGGGATTTGGGTGATGGGAGACACATCTCTGGAATCACAATTTCAATAGCTTACCATTAAATGACGGATATACCTTTCTGTCTTTGATGTTTTACAAATCAGATATTAATGTGTAGAAGTAAACATGAGAAATAATATAGCAATATCCTGTACAATTATGTAAAAACATGAATACAACTACACATCTTCAGATGTTATACATACATAAGTGTCCTACACTAATAATACAAAGTTATTATTAGTATACTGTGTGTACCTTGTGTGCACCGCCTAGTGGTTAAAGCACGTTATTTAATTATTTTTGTTGAATAATGTTATTTTTGTTGAATAATGTTATTTGATGAATAAAATATTAAGAGTACATACTTTCATAGGGGGAAAGTAGAAGGTCAATGATAGAAATATAGAATATAAAAAATCAAGAAGATACTGTAAGTGATCTCTACAATAAAACAGTTTAGTGCCTGATGTACAAAGATATTAATATGAGGATGTGCAAAACAGACAAACTAAATAACCTTTATTAACACATTAAAGAATACTTTAGGTTTTCTTTCAAATAAGAAAAAAGCTTTGGGGGTATCTATCTACAGATAAATATTAAGCCTGACAAAGTACTTAACGTCTAATATATTGCTTTCCTGCAATGTTAACTGTGTTGAAGCACTTATTTTAACTGATATTATATATATATTAATTATACTCTTATGTATGTAGATAGTATAAGACATGTGCAGAATTTGAGTTTAATGGTGGAGGAATACACACATATTGATAGATGTCTTGTAATGCACTGTTGAGGAACCTGTGACCCAAGTTTTTCATTAATTGCATAACTTCAACATAGTTGTGTATATGATATGTCAATAAACCTTAGAAAATCTTGAAAGGGATGTGCAAAATAGCTATTATATACAGTCTTTAATTAACTATTAGTAGAGAATAACGAGTAATGAATATACTTTATAGAGATCTGCAGATAAATGTTTAGTCTTCTCAAGCACCAACTAATATCTCTCCTGATTGTTGGCACTTGACAATCACCTTTCCCTGAATTTTACTCAGGTGTAACTAAAGTCTGATTTAAGGGTTGTTTATATTTCACATCATTAATCAGAATCTGCAAAGTAACTAAAATAAATGTAGTGGAGTAAAAATACCAGGTTAACCTCTGAATTGTAGTGGAGTAGAATTACAAAGTAACAATGAGCTGGCATGTGGGTATATATTAATGCTTCCCATTATGGACACAAGCGATTTTCACCCATTTATTAATTACATGTTTTACATTTGTACACACCAATTTGTTTCCTATCCCCTAAACCTCCAGGGCTGTACACAGTTTAATACTGTCAACTTCTAATTTTGGGAAAAACGAAAACGTCTTTTAAAACTACAATTCCCAGTAGAGACGTGCCATAGAACATGTTGCGAAACACAATAGCCAGCATGTGTAGTTCTGGGGGGGCGTTCGAGTCCAGTTTTGGAAAGTCTGCCGTGGTTTCGTTCCATTTCAAAGAGCTGTTTGGCGCTCGGCGTAACCTTGGCGCACTGCCACTCCAACATCCAATCCCAGAGTTTGAAGATTAATCACGGGGTTTGTCAACGGGACTGTAGTCCCAAACGATAGCTGGGGATTATGGGTAGTGTAGTGTCTTCGGCCATCCTAAACTCTGATTGTTTTTTCGGATTTCATATCGCATTAACACCATATCCCGACGTGCATTGCGGCTAAAACATCCAATCAGCGAGCTGAGGATCTTTCCTACGTCACTTTACAGCCCTGCCCACTTTTGGGGAAACCAGCTGTCATTTGAACGGCGATCAGCCTGAAGCCACAGAACTCTTCTGTTGTATACTGTCCTTTCTTCTTAGAGGAAGTACAGAAACACGTAACTCTGGATTTGTTTTAATGTTTGAGGTGCAATAAACGACACAGCAGCTTTTTGGCATGTTAAAACTCTGCCTCGCAGCTGGCGAAATTACAGCCTCGCCTACTGATTTTAATTTAACCATAGGATATCAAACCCGATCGTCGATTTCAAATGTGTGCTCTAAAATGATATTAATAAATGACTATTATCATTATTATAAGCTAGAAAAGAAATGTCAAAGATAGGTAGAAAGCAAACGTATTTAAGATATGTTCAGAACAAACGTAACGTGGGACAAAAGACGTTTCTTGTTAAACGTAATTGAGAATGCTGTATGAAACGACTACAAACAATATTGTGATTATTAACCATTAACCAGCATAATAACGGATTTGGTAAACTGAACAGTGAGCCGCCAGCCAGCGCGAAAATAAGTTTGCTCTAAAATGATATTAATAAATGACTATTATCATTATTATAAGCTAGAAAAGAAATGGCAAATATAGGTAGAAAGCAAACGTATTTAAGATACGTTCATAACAAACGTCAAGTGAGAGAAAATAGGTTTCTAGAAGATATGTAGAAAATAAACGTATTTAAGATATGTTCATAACAAACGTAACGTGGAAGGAAATACGTTTCTTGCGAAACGTATTTGAGAATGCAGTTTAGTTTTGTGGGAACGTAATTTCTAGGAGACAGGGTTGGTCTATGCTGCCCCAGAACGCCTCGTTGGAGATTTCTCTTTTTCCATTGTTTGCTTCCTGGGTTCTGTGACGTGTGAACACCCAAATCAACAACAAATGACCGGATTGGCCCAAATGGACCAATCCGCGGAGCACCTCACACACCAGGATCCCTTGGCTAACTAACAGGGAGTCCCCACTAACTTGCATAGAGCTCCCTGAACGCTGGTAATAGACGAGTTGGGATGGCGGAGAAGACCCATTCTCACAGCGTTTATAAACCTTTTTCTTACTCAATATCAAGCCACACTTATTGTTTTTACTTCGGCTGTGAGTGTTTGTGTGTGTTCAGGATGAGTTTCGCTTGTTCTCGCTGTATCGCCGACCCGGAAACCTGTCCGCTCCTCGCAGCAGCAACGAGCCTCGCAACGTCCCGACCAATCAGAGCACACTGGGCTCACAGGGAGGGGGGGGGCAGGAGCTCCAACAAGCCGTTTAGGACAGAGAGTGAATACACATACTATACAGATGCTGTATGAGAAACCAATGTGAGTTTGGAAAATTGCACAATTTAAATCTATTTTAGTAGACCTCAACAATGGAAATATGATCAGTAGAAATGGCCATGACATGGGACCTTTAAAGCTGAGATTCAGTTTCTGCAGTTTTTTTATTTCATTTTAAATCCTAACTTCCACTAAAAGGCTCTTTTAATTCTCAGATAATTTACTTTAATAAATATTACGCAAAAATATAAGTATTATTATCTTAATGTAGTTTAAGAATCACCCCCACACATCCTCTATAACTCTAAGTTCTCGCTTTTAAAATGTTCAAAATACCATGAAATCATTGTAATTGTTGTTGTATCCTTAGTTTATTTACAGTAGTGATATGTCGGTCTCTCTCCTCCCCGTGAGGTGCAGCTCCCAGGCCTCCAGCTGCTGCAGGAACCCAGCGTTCGGCCTCATGTCGGGTTTACATCCGAGCACCAAGTTCCAGGCCTCCTGAAAACATCACAACCACAGCATTATGGGATCCTTTTGTATTTTTGACTTTTTATTTTAATTGTCCATAATATCTTATATTGTTTTGTTTATATTTGTTATATTTTATATAATATTTTTCATTTTATTTGTAATTGTTAATTCACTTTTCCACTTTTTAAAGTATTTAAAGTATCTGAGTACTTCTACTTTTACTCTAGTACAAGATCAGAGTACTTTTACTCCTACTTTGACTCAAGATCCACACACACACACACACACACACACAACACACACACACACACACACACACACACACACACATATACACACACACACACACACATATACACACACACACACACACACACACACACACACAATCACCTGCAGTGTGTGTTTTCGGTGCTTCATGAGGAAGGCGATGGTGACGGCGCTGCAGCGACTTCGACCTCGAGGAGAAGCGATCAGAACCCGAGAGCCCGAGTCGATGTGAGAGGCTGAAGACAGCAAAGAGAGATCAATATTTATAGATCAGTGAACGAGAAAAAACTCTACATTATCAAACAGAGAAATGTGACAAAAACTGTATTTATGGCTCATTCAGTAAAGAAATATATCAAAGTATGGTTTCAATGAAGTCTGAGATTCAAGGTTCCACAATGTAATCCTAAAGTGAAATACATTGGGAGGGAGGGTTGGGTTTGTTTTATTTTATTTCTGTTTGTCTGTATTATTGTTATTATTTTTAACTTCCATATGTATTCTGCATTTTGTATATTTTGTAAGTAATTTCTGTTGTCAAATTAAAAATGTTAGTATGTAATTTTATTATAAAAAAATTGTGCTTTTGGTTGTACATGTTGTGCTTTTGGTTGTACATGTTGTGTATTCATCAATACAAATTCGATCACAAAAAAAAATCCTAAAGTTTAATTATTATCATCCTCATGTTTATATTCTAAATATCTCTAAGGAATTAAAACAGCTGATTAATTCAAAGTAAAGACTTACCAATCAGATCACAGATTCTTTCAAAGCTGGAGTATAAATCAGATTTCACTGAGTCGTCCACCGGGAAGTTAACAATGGTCTGATTCCCCTTCATGGATCTAGATATAGAAACAAACTCATATTAATCCAGAGCAGATGAAACCCTCAGAGATTGTTCTGTAACGACGTGTCTCACTCCTGAGAGAGGAGGATGATGAGGCTGATCTTCATCTCTCTGAGGAGGCTGCAGTCGGCGCTCTGCTTCTCGTCTCCGAGGTACAGGAGTCCTGAGAGGATCTCCACCGGATACTGCTTCAGGTTCTCCAGCTCCTGAGACCAGACAGAAACACACAGAAAGGCTTTATTATATATATTTAATACACACAGTTTGACTTGAACGAATGCATACAGGTTCACAAGAGGGGATTGCATTTTCCCTGCTATAGGAAGAAGTACTTTCAGTACATTTGAGTCTCTTTCAAAGCCAGATGTGGTGAGTGTCTCTACTTTAAAGAGTCCTCTCCTGCAGATGTTCAGGTGTATATCAGTATGTAGTGTCTCTACTTTAAAGAGTCCTCTCCTGCTGATGTTCAGGTGTATATCAGTATGTAGTGTCTCTACTTTAAAGAGTCCTCTCCTGCTGATGTTCAGGTGTATATCAGTATGTAGTGTCTCTACTTTAAAGAGTCCTCTCCTGCTGATGTTCAGGTGTATATCAGTATGTGTCTCTACTTTAAAGAGTCCTCTCCTGCTGATGTTCAGGTTTATATCAGTATGTAGTGTCTCTACTTTAAAGAGTCCTCTCCTGCTGATGTTCAGGTGTATATCTGTATGTGTCTCTACTTTAAAGAGTCCTCTCCTGCTGATGTTCAGGTGTATATCAGTATGTAGTGTCTCTACTTTAAAGAGTCCTCTCCTGCAGATCTTCAGGTGTATATCAGTATGTAGTGTCTCTACTTTAAAGAGTCCTCTCCTGCTGATGTTCAGGTGTATATCAGTATGTAGTGTCTCTACTTTAAAGAGTCCTCTCCTGCAGATGTTCAGGTGTATATCAGTATGTAGTGTCTCTACTTTAAAGAGTCCTCTCCTGCTGATGTTCAGTTGTATATCAGTATGTAGTGTCTCTACTTTAAAGAGTCCTCTCCTGCTGAGTTTGTGTGTGTGTGTCTCACTGTGATGGTGTACATGATTTTCTCCGTCCTCAGGTAGGTGTACAGAGCGGTGAACCTCTGAAAGCCTCCGATCACCACGAGCACCGGAGAGAGTGAAACTTCAGAGAGAACTCGAGCACAGAGCAGCGCTCGACCTGCAGATAAACAACAACAAGAGATAAACAAAAACATCATTAAAGATTAAACTGAGGAATAACGGTTTAAAGCTGCTTCATGCAACAATATCAACAATCTAATAATGTCATATATATATAATAACAACATATCACACACGGAGGATATTTGTATGCATAATTACCACTTTTACTTCACATAATACGTCTCCTTGCAGTATCAATAGTAATTTGGCTGACTTTCATATTTGATCAAATCGGTAGATATGCTTTAAAAACCCTCATCACAACACCTCTTTGCCTTCCAAAAAGAAACTACAAACATGGTGTCGTGTTGCATCACTGTACAAAGCTGATATAATAGGAGTTGTAGTTTTTAAAGATAGTATTGATTTTCTTTTGATTAAAGAATGTTCTCTGATTACTTACTTTTACTTACTCATTATAAGGTTAATTTAATAATTGAAAACCAGCATTATGTGACAAATCATCTGTCTAACAGGCGGGATAATGGACATTAAGACGGTTATTATTATTATGAAATGAAACACATTGACCAGCTCGCTTCACATTATATTGTCCTAAACATATTCCTGGCTGAGAAGCATAACGGGAGGACTGCCTAAAGGGAATTACTACCACAGAAGTGAGAGGGGGAATGGTTTAAAATACAGACGTTTTAACACTTCAGTGGTATTTAGCAGAAACTAGTCCTGTATAGTTCCTTACTGTCTTCCTGTATGGAGCTGGTGTTGCTGTCGTAGACGACCACGTGCTGCATGCTGTCCACCTCCAGAGCCTCGGGAAGCAGGAACACACCTTCTGAATCCTGCACACACACACAGGAAGTCTATCAAAGCGTTCGATACCGTCGATCATCATATCCTGAAGCAGAGGCTGGCCAGTATTGGCATATCCAGCCATGCAGTGGGGTGGTTTGTGAACTACCTCGCTGAAAGGTCCCAATGTGTTCATTTTGATGGGCTGTGTCTGAGTGGTTACACATTACTAATGGTGTTCCACAAGGTTCTGTTTTAGGTCCACTTTTATTCTCCATCTTCATCAACAGCTTAGGTCAAAATGTCGATGGAGCAACTTTACATTTTTATGGGGACGATACCGTGATGTACTGTGCAGGTCCCTCCATTAAGGAGGCTGGTGTTAAATTACAGGCTGTTTTCAATATTATCCAGACTCAGCTCTCTGAACTAAAGCTTCTTTTAAATGTTGATAAAACTAAGGTAATGCTATTTTCAAAAGCCAAAAAGACACCGGAGACCACTTTGGATATTGTTACTGTGCAAGGAAAAGTACTCAAAGTGGTTACCTGTTTTAAATACCTTGGTATCTGGCTTGATGATGGCCTCTCTTTTAAACTTCAGGTCAATAATCTGCTTAGAAAGCTAAGGGTGAAGCTAGGTTTCTTTTTCAGAAACAAGTCCTGTTTCTCGCTTGAGGCCAGGAACAGGCTCTGTGACCTTTTGACCTGTGCTGGACTATGGTGATCTGATATATATGAATGCACCTGCCCATTACCTGATCAAGTTAGATGCTGCCTATCACAGTCTCTCATGTGTCAGATTTGCCCCAGTTTGCGACTCTTACAACCTCAGATCCAGTGCCTGGATACGGTTCCAGGTACCTACTGTACGGACTGAGGCTAGAAAAAGGAGTCTTTCTTATTATGGTCCTTGGTCTTGTAATGACCTTCAATCAAGCCTAAAACTGATGGCACTTGTCTCTATATCATGTTTTAAATTGAAGTTGTCCGAAGTCCTCACCACCAGCTGCTCTTGCAGTAACAGGTAGTGTACTTTTTTTACTGTCCTAATGTGCACAATGTAGTGACTGCTTTTTCGTCTTTTGTTTTCTTAGTTATGTTCTCTGTATTTTATATGTTTGTGTTATGTGTTATGTGTAACGTTGCTGCCTTCTTGGCCAGGTCAGCATTGAAAATGAGATTTTATCTCAATGTTTTTATCTGGTTAAATAAAGGTTAAATAAAATAAAAAACAGTGTGCTGAGATTTGTCACTAACTGTAAAGCACTTACTCATCACTGTACCCTGTATGCCAGAGCAAGTCTGTCTGCACTTACTGTACGGAGGCTCAGCCATTGGTACATGTTTATCTATAAAGCCATGTTGGGTAAACTACCAACTTAAATCTGCTCCCTGATCACACAGCGAATTCAAAGTAGCTATTGTCTGAGATCTCATGATGTGGTTTTGTTACATGTGCCAAGTGCTAGGACTGTCTTAGGGATGAAAGCTTTTATGTGCGCTGCTCCTCTTGCTTGGAACAGTCTGCAAAAGGAATGGAAACTGAGCAATTTGGTTCCACTGCATGTTTTTAAAGCTCGGATAGATGCTATGCAATCTGATACTGTTGGTACCTGTAAATGTCCTTAGCTCTGTAAATTGTAATCCCTGTATCTTTGTTGTATGATGTCCTTTTTGTTTTTCTGTTGTTTTATGTTTTTATGTCTTCATGTGGAACCTACTTGCAGCAGGTCTCCCTTGAAAAAGAGATTGATGATCTCAATGGGATTCACCTGCTTAAATAAAGGTATGAAATTAAATGAAATGAAGTCAGATATTTAACACGAAACAAAACAACCCTAGAAAGTAAAGGAAGTAAGAAGCTGAGCTGAATTGCAGTTTGTTTGTTTTTGTATCAGGGGTTTCCAAACTGCGGCCCATGGTCCATTTTTGATTGGCCCATAGCTACTTAATATAATATATAATATAACCAGCCTGAAATATCCCCTTCATATTCCCCCTTATTATGAGCAATCTGAGGCTTCTTTCGTTAAAGAATGTCCGAAATTGGGATCAATAAAGTACTTCTTATCTTATTCTGTTTTAAGGAATGAGCTGCAACACGGTTTGTAACAAGATAAAGTAAACCCTATGGAGAGATGTGATGTTTGTTTCTTAAAGCATATTCAAGTATCAAGAATCATTTACCTAACAACATGAGATCAGAGATGGGCTGAAGAATAAGACAAAAGCATCAACATGTGCAATCAATAAACAACACTTTTTCCTCTAATCACGAATACAATACGTTTGTATATATCTCTTAACATTAGAATCTGATTTAAAGTGCTGCACAATTTTAATGTGTCTTACATCCTGCTGTCTAAAAAGCCTGGTCATTACTTCCATCATGCCACCATAAGTTTACCACATGACCTCTGTACCGTTTTGACAGTCTTGGCTGTTATGATGTGACTTGTTCTGTAGTCTTGGGTTTCTCGAGCATCTAGAAAGAGACATAAAGAAGTGAGCGATAGCCAAAGAAAGCAAATCCAACTCACATTGTGGTCACCAATACTTCCCTTAGGACACCAATCGAACAAAACTATATACATATGCCTGTCTTCTATATTTTATTAAGCTAATATTACATATTAAAGGAGCTAACGAACATGTGAAGCATTGCGAATTATGAGATAACTTGGGCACGCACGCACGCACGCACGCACGCACGCACGCACACGCACACACACACACACACACACACACACACACACACACACACACACACACACACACACACACACACACAGGAACAAATGTAGTGGTGTAAAAAGTACGTAATTTACCTTTGAAATGTAGTAGAAAGTACGAAGTTGCATAAAATAGAAATACTCAAGTGAAGTACAAGTACCTTCAAATTAAAAGTACAGTACTTGGGTAAATGTACTGAGAATAAGTGCCTTAAAGGTTTGTAAATTACTTTTGATTTTTAAAATAAATAAATGTCTTTCCAGAGGTGGGAAGTAGTGGAGTACAAATACTTCGTTACTGTAGGCTACTTATTTTTCTGGTATCAGTACTTTACTCCACTGCTTATTTTTCAGATGAGTTTTTAGTTTGACTTCTTACATTTTGAACACAAATACCTGTACTTTCTACTTCTTACATTTTGAACACAAATACCTGTACTTTCTACTTCTTACATTTTGAACACAAATACCTGTACTTTCTACTTCTTACATGTTGAACACAAATACCTGTACTTTGTACTTCTTACATTTTGAACACAAATACCTGTACTTTCTACTTCTTACATGTTGAACCCAAATACCTGTACTTTCTACTTCTCACATTTCCCAAACAGGCTGGTTCCTTTAGTTTGAATGTGTGTTTGGTGGCGTGATCATTATTATTTAGAGTCATTGCGTGCCTATTGATTTGAACACGATCCGTGTATCCATCATTTCCTGGTCTTCTCTAAAGAAGAGGGACCAATGAAAACGTTGTCATGTTGCCGTTGTTCAGCATGGAAACATTCATTAGCTAACAATGACATTATTGTCCTATTAATATAAAGGGAGGTCGGGTACTCTTTAAAACAGCTGCTAGTTATGGGTACTTTTTACTAAGTACATTTCAAAGCCCATACTTCTTTACTTTTACTTGAGTAAAGAAGTTTACCCAGTAGCCTACTTCTACTTTTACCAGAGTATTTTTTAAAACGAGTATCTGTAAGGATGTGTGTGTACTTCTCCATCTCTGTCTCTCACCGATCAGACAGAGATAGTTGATCTCCGCCAGCCTCGCGCCGCTCCTGTTCAGCAGGTTGTAGAGCACCGAGGGCTCACAGGGCTTTATCTCCGCCATGCCAGGAGCACAGAGTCAACTAGGAGCAGATAACAACAAACAAACTGTGTTGATAAACAACAACAACAACTACAACTCACTGAAGCTGCGAGTCAAACACAACATCTGCACCCGAGGAAAGAACACTGTCTGTTTATGTCTGTTACTAAGCAACTCGGCGTCTTCCCCGATTGGTTGTTGGTGATGAAGTCTTCTTAAAGTCGCAGGTACACATTTTATGACTTCATCACAGAGGCTTTAATGTTATATACTCAGAGGAGGGAAGTAACTAAGTACATTTACTCAAGTACTGTACTTAAGAACAATTTAGAGGTAATTGTACTTTACTTGAGTATTTCCATTTTTGCTACTGTGTACTTCTACTCCACTAAAGTTCAGAGCTACATGGTGTACTTTTACTCCACTACATGTATTTAATACCTTTAGTTACTTTACAGATCTGCATGAATGATGTGAAATATAATCAAGTGTTAAATCAGACTTTAGTTCCACCTGGAGTAAATTCACAAGCTACCCTGCAGTATACAAAGTCATTCAAACTTTAGCTTTACCAGCTTTTACAACACTTTAATGATCAATAATTATATTATATACAGCAGCATGTTCACAAGGCATTGCAAACTGAGTTCAAAATATAAAAAAATAATAAACAACAGTAGACAGATAACTATATACAATACAAATATGAAAAATACATTTGAATACACTGCATTAGACCAACATACTTCTAAAACAACACATATAAATATCCCTTTATACAATAAAATAAAACGTTATTTATATTTGATATATTCTAATTCATGGTTTCAGCATTTAGCCTATTTAGTATGTTGACTTTTTTATTCCAAAACGTTGTTATTTTGGGAGATACACATTGGATTTATCTATTTCAGAAGATCAAGGAATAAAAACTTCAGGTACGCTGTGAAATGTATTGTTAACATTTAACAGTGTATCTGAAGTGTTTTACAATGTTCACTGTACATTGTAAATAAATAAACAAAAGTGTGCAAAAATAATTACAATTCCTTTCATTTAAATTAAAAAAATCACATGTGTCGTGTTTGTTTCAACCAAATTGTTGTTGACAAATCATGTTGTTTATCACCAGGTTGACACGTACGAAGAATTTGACTTGATGTCGTGATGCATACATAAAAGTAAAACAAGAATTAAAAACACAGATACAAAACTGTTTTAAGAAAACTATAATAACATTAAAAAATATAGCAGTATTTACATTGCAATATAATTGGATACATATCAGTTGTTGTAACATTAGAAACATGGAGCTGTCTAAACAAACGTCCACACACAGACGTTTGTTCCCGCTGAGAACAGCATGTTCTGATCGAGGCTGAAAGAAGGACTGTGTTCTCCGTCAGTCTCAGATCATGCTGCTGCGCTGACAGCAACACAAGACCGAGAGCAAGATGAAGACGGAGGCTGCTGCAAAAACTAAAATCATCCCCTGGATTGTATTGCTCCTGTGTCTCAGTTCCTACAATTCAGGTATGCAACAGCTTCTACTCTTGCTTTACAGTTGCTTGTCTATGCATTGCATCTGAAAGAGTGTGTTTATGATGCAGCTAATAAGTTACAGCTGATAAATGATGGTGTCAGTATAAGGGAATAAAGAAAATACAAAGTGCAGGTTTGATTTTGAGGGTTTATGAAACAACCAGAGGGTCTTCCCAGTAGAGTATAGAAGTAAACAACAGCATTTCATATTGTAAGACATTCAGGTACTGTTTTTATAGTTGTATATTCAAATGAAATATAAATAAAACATGCAAACGCTTTCAATTTTTTTTATTACCAGATGTTCTTGGTGATTTCTGCAATGTTCTGCAGGGGTGAAATGAAAATAAGTACTCAAATATTGTACTTTTTGAGTTAAATATAGGGTTGTCTGCTATACTAAATATTTCTGACAGCTTGAGTGACTTCAATGATAGAGATTTGTGCATAGCATAACAACTAAAAAGTGTTTATAAAACCTGGTGTTTACTAGACAAACGTTTATACAAGAATAATATACCCGAACATTTGAATATTTTTCGAACTTATTCTGAACATTATTCGTTTATTGGGTGTTTTTTCTGCATTCTTCTGTTTAATACTTTGTCTACTTTTTGCCTCTAAGCGAAGTAGAGGATCTGAATACTTCCTCTTGTGTTATACGTAACATTATGTAATGTCCGTGGAAGTGAAGACTCTGCAGAACGATCACAAAGGTGTTATTTGTTGCTGGTGACTTGGGTGGCATTAGACTGTGTGGGAGCTTGTATAGCTTTGTGCCCACCCTTTGTGCGGTAATACAGTATTGTTTCTACAGAAAGTGGTTTTATTTATTCCCAGCTGTGGATGTGTGTCATCACTGAGCTGCTCTGTTTCTGCAGAGCATTGCATCTGGATTGCAACCAGTGTTGTTTTCATGAACTGGCAAGAAGGAGATCTGCAGAAACAATCCCCCCCGTTGTTGGCCCATCCCGAGGAATGACAGCTGGTGACATGTGAAGCTGCTCAGTATCCAGAGGAGACGGGGCGTGGTGCCTGTGGAGGAAACTCTGAAGAGAAACTGATCAATGATTCAGGGACAAACTTTGTCTTTTGTTATATTTAATAAAGTAATAAAGAAAGTGAAATCGATCCCAAATGTAGGAAAACCTCGCCTACTCTCCGCCTCAGTGTATATATTTGTATTTATACATTTTACATCTATATACCTTTACTTGTATATTTATATAGTGCATTTATTTTGTACAGACTGCTGATAGATGTGTATATAACTGACTGTTTGCACTCTGGTTAGACCCTCTTCATTTCGTTACACTCTGCATGCATTATGTAATGACAATCAAGTAATCTAATCTAATCTACTTCATCCTCAGAGGATAGAGAAGTTCTGCACCCAGAACACAGTTTACAGTCAAACTATATAGTAGAGAGAATAGCCAAATGGTCCCACCCTTCAATTCTCTTAGGCATCATCTAAACATCCCCATCATTAAACCATTAAACCCCCTCGTCCTTTAACCATTTGTAAATCCACCTTCTACTTCCTTTGCCCTCCTGAAATGTAAACCCTTAACACATGTCTCTGTTCAACACATACAAGACTAAAAATACAATTGAACAGTGTAAAAGACAATCAGAGTATAAGACTATATGTTTGAAATGATTATATGATAATTTGACACGACAGTGCCCACATCGAATAATGATCAGCTTTTACATTTTGCCTGTGTGCAAAAACGATTATTCGTAGAGATCTGTGAATACACAGCGGTATGTCCAAGAAATAACGCTCATGTTGGATTATTCCACTGAACGCAATGTACTTTACTGAGGTCCAATGCTGTGTAGCAATGCATAATGTAATACTGTGTCTGAATGTATGTATTTAATTGCTATTATGAGTTCATTAACACTGATAAGTATGGCAAAATCAAAAAAAGTACTTCCCTGATGTTGAAATCATACTCTTACTGTCTGACTGCCATTGGTTACGTAACGTGAATAGCGGGACTTGTTGCCCATATGGAAATCATGAGGGCTTAGAAGGTGCTTTAATAACTAGAGATCTTTAAATAGACGGCGGTATGTCCTGGAAATAACGTTCAAGTTGGATTATTCCTCTGTACACAATGTTCTTCACTTAGGTCCAATGCCAGCAATAAGTGGTGTGTCTTCTTTGTGGCAATGCATAATGTAATACTGTGTCTGAAGTTACGTATTTCTGTACTAACAATTGCTATTATGAGTTCATTAACACTGATAAGTATGGCAAAATGAAAACAAATGAGTACCCTGATGTTGAAATCATACTCTTACTGTCTTATGATTGGTTACGTAACGTGAATGGCGGGACTTGTTGTCAATATGGAAATCATTAGGGCCTAAATGTTGCTGAATTGCTAAGTTATTTTACCTCCTCCATTCGTTACAGTTTACAAACAGGTTGGTGGCATCTGCACCGAGTCATTCTAGGGCTAATCCCAAGAAAAATATAGAAAAGGTACAGAACATATTGAAACTTCATAATGTACTTGATTATAAGGCAGACACATCTTAGTAATAGTTGTTGGAGGACATTAGGACTTGCCTTTTCAGGGATGTTGTCGGTTCTGTTCAAAATGTTTATAATGTGGTTTTATTGACTGCCTTGAGTCTCAAAACGCTGCCTTTCCTTCTCCTAATTCTTCACCATTTTGTACTTGTTATCTTTAAGACAGAACTGTATCAATCCTGGGGGAAGTTGCTCTGAGATATAGATGGTGTGTCATTTAACTTGTATAAGTGAAAAGTTGCAATAGGGTGGACATTACAAATAAATCTAATACACAGGAACCTATTTTCTCTGCCTTGAGTCTTAAAACGCTGCTTTTTCTTTTCCTAATCCATAACCTTTTTGTACTTGGTATCTTTAAGATAAGATAAGACAGAACTCTATGTATCCTGAAGGAAATTGCTCTGCAGTTGAAATATAGATGGTGGCATATGGGCAGAGATGGCAAAAGTACACACATCCTTTACTCAAGTAGAAGTACAGATACTCGTGTTTAAAAAGACTCTGGTAAAAGTAGAATTACTGACTAAACTTCTTTACTCAAGTCAAAGTAAAGAGGGCTTTGAAATGTACTTCAGTAAAAAGTACCCATAACTAGCAGCTGTTTGAAAGAGTACCTGACCTCCCTTTATATTAATAGAACAATAATGTCATTGTTAGCTAATGAATGTTTCCATGCTGAACAACGGCAACATGACAACGTTTTCATTGGTCCCTCTTCTTTAGAGAAGACCAGGAAATGATGGATACACGGATCGTGTTCAAATCAATAGGCACGCAATGACTCTAAATAATAATGATCACGCCACCAAACACACATTCAAACTAAAGTAACCAGCCTGTTTGGAAAATGTAAGAAGTCAAAGTAAAAAGTCGTCAGAAAAATAAGTAGTGGAGTAAAATACTGATACCAGAAGAATGTACTTAAAGTAACGAAGTATTTGTACTCCGCTGCTTCCCACCTCTGCATATGGGGTACACATGAAAGATAAATCTAATACACAGACCTATTTTCTCTGTCTCTCTGCAGGTGGGGTGTTGGCGGTGAATATGAGCATCCCTAACACCCTCCTCAGAGGCACCGTTGGGGGGGAAGCCGTTCTCTCCGTCTGCTACAACAGCTTCAGTCTGGATCTGCCCGTCATCAAGTGGCAGCTGAAGAGGGAGAAGTCCATCACTGTGGTCCAGTCGATAGGAACCGACATCATTGGGACGCTGAGGCCGGAGTATCGAGACCGAATCCTGGTGTTTGAGAACGGGACTCTGCTCCTCCACAACCTCCGACTCTCCGACAACGGGACGTACGACGTGGAGATCTCCATCACAGACGATACGTTCACTGGAGAGGGAAGCATCACACTGACCGTGGATGGTAAGAAAACGAGACTAAAGACATTAAAATAGAGTCTCGATTAACAGGCTGGTAAAATAGCAATAATGTCAGTGGTGGCAAAGTAGGGTCATCTATTAAAGTACTTCTCAAATAGAGAGTTTTATATCAGTTATCTATGCTATGGGGGAAGAGCTACTACTAATGACATTATCTATAATAAAGATGTCACCAAGTTTCTCAGAGACATTTGAAGACAGATGCAAGGAACTTGGCTTCACTATGATTGTGTCGAAAAGCCCTTCAATAGTGTTTTATAGTCAGAGTATATCGATTTTTTTATCTTCACGGTATACTGTATATTTTCTACTTTTGAATGCTGTTTTAATTCTATTTTGAGATGTTTAATTTCTACTTATGTGCAATGCCTTGTTTTGTTTTGTTGTTTTTTATGCTGCTGCAACGCAATAATGTCCCAATTTAATTTTGTTATCAATAAAGTACCTCTTATCTTATCTTATCTTATCTTATAAGCATTTTTGGGACTGCTTCACATGGGCTTTGTCTTACTATAGACTCTCACTCACTATCTCAAGGTTACTAAACTTAGTGCATCAAAACAAATAAAGGGACCAGAGGCCTGTTGTCTGAAGCCAGTTCAACAGACCCTGGATATCTATGAGTTATCTGGCTTAACTAACCCTAACAAACTTGATCCTACGACGTTGGTCATCAACCCAGGGTTTTTCAGTCCGGCTACGAGTGCATTTCTCCGGTAACTAATGTTAGAATAGAATAAAATCCTTTATTGTTAATGTTGTGGATCATTATAGGATTTTTAAGTAAGCTTGCTTGCCACAAATCTCATAATAGTCAGATTGTACGAGATTTGCAGTGATTTTCTTTAAACGTCGGTAATTCATTGCAGGCCGTCTTTGTGTTTCCTTGAGCCTGGAATATGTAACTTCATAGCCTTAAACTCCGGGCACCGAGCTCTTGGTCAGTAGACGGAGCTTTAACTCGAGTTGATCTCTTATCTTGAACATAACCTGCTCTGGAGAAGAAGTTACGATGGCTCTTCACCCCGGTAAGAAGTGAACCAGCATCGTAGAACTGGAAACCGTGAAGTTACCTCGCTAACCACAAATCCTGCTTCGTAGTACTGTTCTTTCTTTGTCTGTTTACATGTTGGAAATTATTGTATCTCCTATATCCAGAGACTATATCCAGGCCCTTCATCCACATGGAGACGACATCGGTTCTGGAGCTCAGTGAAAACGTGGTCCTGAACTGCTCCCATGATAATGGCACCAAGACTGCATACAGGTGGTTCAAAGGGGGGAAGCAGCTGAGCAACATGACGCGGTTCGTGTTGTCTCCGGATCAGAAGTTCCTGACCATCATGCGAGTGTTGATGGCGGACGACGATATCTACATCTGCATGGTGGAGAATCCTGTCGGCAATATGACGAGCCTGCCCGTCAAACTGACCGTCTACAGTAAGTTATATTTAATAACACTTCTATGCAATACCAATCATGTTTAAGTGAATACAACGTTACCTTACTGGTATGTTTGTGTTGTTTCCTATACAAAATGTGTCATATGACCAGTTGGACGATACAACCGGGCATAAATAAGATTTGTTCAGTTAGATTTGTTTGTTTACAATAATCGGTAGTACCTAAAAGTATTGGAAATGCTCAATAACACAGATAACGACCAGCTCTGATCACAATCAATTATAATTTCTAGTTTTGTGGCAATCCCCCCCAATATATGTTGAAATATTTCACTCAAGATCAATATTAACGTCAACATTGGATTACCAAAGTAATAAGAATCTACTCCCAGGCCACTATGGATATATTTCATGGTAATCCATCCCAAAGTCTTTGACTTTTTTCAGTCCGAAATTAAAGTGGCCAACATTACCTGTGGTTTAAATGTAGTCTTACTCCAATATTTTATCAATGATCAACAAGCGATGTTCTGTAAAATCCTGTCTTGTATTTCTGTTTATAATGTTATTACCTGTAATGTTGCCTATGCTAACAGGAAGGAGTTCGCTCTACATCATCCTCTCCACTGGAGGCATCTTCCTCCTCATCACGTTGGTCACAATATGTGCCTGCTGGACGCCGAACAAAAAGTAAGAATAGCTAAGAAGCTTTAAGGGATCGTACACATGCTAACTTTTCAAAGGCGATGAGGCAGGTTGCAGCTACATATGAATGCGGATGAAACCTGATAACCGTACCACGAGATCTTCTCTGTTTTAAGTGTGTGGGTCAGTGTTTCTCTTAGCTGGTATTAACCGGACTTTGACGCTACGGGATCTTTTTTGTTTGAGGAAATATGATATTTGCAGTTTGCATTAGGGGCTGTACACATGCCGCCTTTTTTGCTTTAATTGCGTTAATGATTATGGGACATTTGAGCAGGGGTGCTCTTAAAATAACTATAGTGGAAACACTGGTCGGATTTTAATCTAACGTAACGTTAACCCTGAATTTAAAGGATACACTTCCCTCCATATAATCACCAAAGATGTATTTTTATGGAAGTTTTAGATATTTGCCAGCGTACACTGCTGCCTTTCCAAAAATGTAATTACTACCAACTCCGAATCCATCACTCCTTGAAAAGTCGTTCTCGTGTTTGAGTTTGCGCCATTCCTGCGTTTACATTCAAATCAATGGATTTGAATTTTCAAACCACTCAGCTTGTGTACGGCCATGATAAGCTAATGCTGCGTTCACACCGGACGCGATGCGACTATTCGCTTCGCTCTAATCGGTCCTATCGCATCGCTCTAAACGCTGGAGTTTCACCGCGGCTGCCAGCTGTGTTTACTCGCATCATTCAAACAAGACGCGCTGGCTCGGGAGCTACAACTACAACAAATGAACATATTTTACCGTGATTAAATTGTAATACACGTTTCTAAATGATGCCGAAGTAACAACATACTGATACCGGTTAGTAACAACCATGAATTAATGCTTTGACAAGCCTGCAGACAAGACGGCAGGCAAAACACCTTTTAAAATGCTTGTTTTCTGAATGAAGATCGGGTCGACCAGGCTAAGCTAACGTTGTATATGCTCATTCCACACTCATAACAACGGCCTACAGACATAAATAAACCAGCGACTGTACTCGCCATGACACAGACAGTCTGTGGTTTGTACTTGTTTAACTTTTGTCCAGTTTCTGAACAGATATGAGGAGCTGTGAGCTCTGTGTGCTAACTGCTAACAGCTAACGGCTGATGTTGTGTGGTTGAACGTCAGTGACGGCGGCTGAGATCCTCACCGCTGATTGGCTTCCGCGAGAACGCGTCACGTGAATTTGACGCTCGAGTTGAAAAAATTGAACTCTCGCGTTTAACGCGGCACCGTTCAATCGCCTCAATCGCGTGATTCGCGCCGCGTCCACCGCTTCATGCGCGCCGTCGGAGCGAATTCGCGTCTGTCCGCGTCTCTGCATTGACTTTACATGTAATCGCGCCGCCCCCAAACATCGCATCGCGTCCGGTGTGAACGCAGCATAAAGACTGTTTTTTAAATCATCATACTATAACATTAATGCTTTGGTATCATGTTGCTAGGCAAAGGCACCACCACCCAGCTGGAAACCCTCTCTACAGATACAATGACTACTCTGATTGCTTACGAATCACTCACACAGGTATAGTAACGTAATACTAAACATATTTTACATAAAGTGATCATATAATCTACAAAAAGAGGCTTAATCCCAACACCTAGAATGTAATGTTAATGAATGACCCTCCACTTTGTGCCACAGATGATTTGCTTCCCAAAAGGACGGAGCGTAATGGAATAAATGCTGTGACGTCGCTTTACGTCCTGCAGCAGAAGGTAACCCTCTCGATGATCTAAAGTACAAATGCACTCGTATTTAATTAACCTGGTAGATAATTGTTAGCAGAATTGGTCTGCAGAGGTGGGAAGTAACTAAGTACATTTACTACATGTATTTAATACCTTTAGTTACTTCACAGATCTGGATGAATGATGTGAAATATAATCAAGTGTTAAATCAGACTTTAGTTCCACCTGGAGTAAATTCACCAGCTACCCTGCAGTATACAAAGTCATTCAAACTAGCTGCACCTTTACCAGCTTTGAGAACACTTTCATGATCAATCATTATAAAACATAACGTATATATTATTCTGAAATGGACCAATCTGCACATTGGGCTATAAAGGAACTACAGCACGGTCACATGACTGTATAATATGGAACATTTTGAATGCAGGACTTTTACTGTAACAGAGTATTCCTACACTCTGGTACTTCTACTTTTACTCAAGTACAAGATCTGAGTACTTCTACTTTTACTTAAGTACAAGATCTGAGTACTTCTACTTTTACTTAAGTACAATATCTGAGTACTCCTCCCACCTCTGTTGGTCTGAAGTCGTCCTGTTTTGCAGGAACCTTCCCTCGATGACTCCTCCAACAACAGTATTGGATCTCCTGAATCGGACAACCCTCCATGCTACACCAGTTCCCCAAAACTCAACGGTTCTCTCACACCTGCCTGCTCGTCCATCAGGTTGACCTGAAAGCCTGTCAGTTTCAACTCTCCAAACAACAGCAGGTGTACTTCTGATACTCTCCTGAATCCAGAAAGCATTTTACTGCAAATCTGCCTGGATCTCAGGAAGGACCTCAAAACCATTTTCTGAGGTTTCTCTATATAATGTGATCGAGCGGTGCAAGGTAAAAAAAACAAAGATGTAGGTTAGCATTTTAGCATTTCCTGCTCCCTTGTCTTGAAGTCAATGGTTTTCTGAATGTGTTTTTGGTTGTTGAACCTGAAATAAGGTCTGTGGTTAACACAAGCTGAAGAGATTTCAACGTTTTGTTCTACCACATAAAAAGCATAAGTAAATATCCCACTGGGGAATTAAAAAACAGAGGTTGCTAACAAGTGTCTAAATGAGACGACTAAACGTCATCACGCCCAACATTAGCCTCCTTTAGCTTAGCGGTGGTGACGTGAAGTCATGTGACCGTGCTGTAGTTCCTTTCTAGCCCAACATTAGCTTTTTATTTGAAAAATCATAAAGTGGTGTTAATATGTGGAGATTATCCTGCTGAAAAAAACGTGTAAGTATCATAAACACCACAGAGATTATTTTCTATAATACAAAATCCAATGGAAAAATCCCATTGGCTTTCTGTCGAGGGAACAAGGAAGAAGCTGACCAACAAAAATATGTCACCTCTGCACCACAATATTGCATGGTGATAAGTTGTTTTTTATCAAAAGTACACTGTAACTTAAAATGAAGTTGTTTTTAAAGATGGAAGCACATCCTGAAGAGAAGTCATAAGGCAGTGTGACATCAGACACAAGTTTAAAACGACTTTAAATCTCGTTTTTGGGTTTACCACTAACCGCTGTTGTCGTTGGTTTCTGGAACTATATATTATTTGGGAAATGGAGTCTGCAAAAAACTGAAATGGGGTCCGTAAGATGAATATACTTCTCTTGTGCTTTATTGTCAACTGTTTGTTGTTATGTTAAACAATACATGTATCTAAACTTGGTTAAAAAGGGATCATACTCAGAAATGTTGAATTTTTTTAATATTTGACTGTGTTTTGTGTGATACTGTATGTTCTGTACTGTTGATGCAATGACACACAGCAGTGACTTAGTAATATTTTGTGAAATAATGTAAATTACTATTTAATTATACTAGATGATTAAATAGTATTTTATTGAAAATATAGAACAAAGCCATGTTGGTTCACTTTTATACAAACTTAAATAAACTGTGAGATATTTCTCACGATTCTTGTCGTGTTTACACTTCCTTCTCTGTCTTTCCAAGATGGAGTCATCGAGTCTAATCCCAATAACTTTGTGTAAATCAACGAATATTAAAAACTAACAAGTTGTCCTGCATTTGAAATGTTTGCAGTTTAAAAGTTTGGTAAAGTCGAGAACTGTAGTTTGATAAAACTACACAATTAATATCTAAAGGATGCTTTTCTATTTTCTATAGCCTGTAAACTAAACTCCATTAAAGGGGACCTATCATGCAAAATGCACTTTTTGATGTCTTTTATACATGAAGATGTGTCCCCGGCGTGTCAGGAGACTCACAAAGTGTCAGAAAATAAAACCCTCTCTCTTTTCCTCCGTGCGCAAATCTCTGAAAAACGGGGCTACAACGGAGCTGATCCAGATTTGCCATCCGATATGACGTTATTTACGTCATATCCGATGGCCCCCACGTGGTGGACCCACGGCCCTATCAGAAAGTTGCTATCACAATCAATGCCCGACATGTTTTTGACCTTTAACTAACCAGCTAGCAGCTAACGGTTAGCTTAAAGTTTGTGTGTAATATTCGTGAGCGAGGTAACTGATTAGAAGCAGTCTCACAACAGGGACATATGCATGAAAAATGTATTCATAGGCTATAGCAACATTTACATATGCTATAGAAATAAGATAGTATAGCTCAGAATAGTACAGTTCATAATTAATTAAATGTACGATTTGAAAATTATTATCTTATTTGTATGTGTTATGAAACACGGTGGAGACGCGAATTAGAACCGTTAGCAAGACACAAAATATGCACAAACAGTTTGAAAGGACTCAAGACAAGTTAAGCATAATTCAATATGTAAACAGAGTACACCAGAATAATATATGTAATATAAGATAAGATACGGTTAGCTAAAAGTTCATGTTCGTGGTTAATGTTTGGGAGAGAAGTCATTGATTCGAAACATTTATATAAAAGAAAATAATAAAGTAATATGATAGGATAGTTTAGTAAAGTATGAGACAAGAAAAAAAGGGAAATTAATATGTTATTTGCACAGTTATCTAAAGGGTGTTTTATTTATCTTTAAATAAAGATCCACTAATTAACTAGCTAGGAGCTAACGGTTAGCTTAAAGTCCGGTATGATGTTCGTGAGCGAGGTACCTGATCCTAAACAACAGGGACATTTGCATCTGTTATAGAAATAAGACAGCATAGTTTAGAACAGTAGAGTTTATAATAGTATGACGTAAAAGATTTGCACATATCTTATTTGCAGAGTTATCTTAAGGGTGTATTATTTATTTTTCTATAGCCCTATACTAAAATCCACTAATTAACTAGCTAGCAGCTAACGGTTAGCTTAACATTTGTGTATGATGCTCGTGAGCGAGGTATCTGATCCTAAACAACAGGGACATTTGCATATATTATAGAAATAATATAGTACAGTTTATAATAGTATGATGTAAAAGATTTGCAGAGTTGTCTTAAGGGTGCGTTTTAATGCTTTTGGATACAATATGTGATTTTAAATTCACATCTAAACTTGATGTTTACAGGAGTAAAGTTCCTGTCGTGATTTCATATTTAAGCACACATTTTGTCAAATGATATTTACATAAAGTACAATAAGCAGCAGTCATGCAGTCTATGGTAACTGTCAGTTATCACCATGGGGTGTGGCTTCCACCTGCAGAAAGAAAACTGATCCTGAATCAGTGTTTTAGTTTGTATTTCGTTGGAAATGTGAGGACCTCTACCACTCAGGCGGACACGTGGACATACATTCGGGAACTTTCTGTGGACGTTTTTAGACTTTTTTGCACGGACATTGAGCAGACTGCAAACTTTCTGCGGACCATGGGTACGTTTTTGATGCACTCGTTTTTACATTTTGCACTTTAAACTTACAGCTGTGTCGAACAAAAAGGGTTTTTGCAGCTCTGTTAGTAAGTATCGTCCATGTTTGTTTGTGAATTTGTTGCATATAAAAACGTTTTCTAAAACCAACGGCGCTTTACGAGATGTTCCCTTGATTAAAATAACTCACAGCCTGCAATTACCCGAGGGAACACAGGATATAGGAAAGTATATGTACATGTGTAAATGTTCTCATAAACGCTGTGTGTGAATGTTGATTTGGAAATATGTACTATTTGAAGTTGTTGCTAAAGGCAATAACATTGTTTATTTCCTGTGATAATAAAAGTATATTCATGTTTAGGGGGGGGGGGGGGGGGGGGGGGGGGGGTAAAAAGCATTGGTGGAAGAAGTATTGAGATCCTTAACTAAAAGTAAAAGTAAAGTACTAGGAGTAAAAGTAATGAAATTAGTAAATGCAGAAATACATCGTTTGAAAACGGTATGACATAATTAAATTAATATATCAGTGTTTATTTCTTATAAATTACCAACAATTATTTTATTTATAAAAAATGTATTATCTTTTGTATTCCCTTTTTTCCTCTTACATTTGTTATCTTTAACTTTTACGTTCCCTTCAAATCTAGGGGTAGAAGGGAACTAACAACAAAAACAGAAAGAGGATACTGATTTGCAAACTGAAAATATGTTGTTTAATTTATCAAACATAAAGAGGGCTCACAAGTTACGTAACAAACCGAAGACAACATAAAACACTTTCTGACAAAAGAAAGAGATAACAATAAACACTGTAAAAAGATACACACTTAACACAACTAGATAGCACGTCTCACCTAGGCGGAGAGACACTATTCAAGAGAAAACAACATTTTCATTAAGTGGGGAACAGCGTCCCCAAAATCCCATGTGTGGCCACAATTATACTACATCCTTAGTGATAAGAACTACCATAGAGAATGAATGGTAAAAGTTAAGGGAGTTACTACTACTACTAGTTACTAACCCTACCTTACTGTTACAATGGAAGATGTTCAAGTTTGTGGTACTAAACCAGGTGGAAACTCTTGATCAATATTATTAAAACATATAATCATCATATTGTACATTTAATCAGGTGATTGTTGATCATAAACTGATTTTCTAACTGTTTTGACATATATGGTTTTGAAATGTAGCCATTTTTTAAGTATTATTAAGCATGTACATCGAGGTTAATCTACTCGTTCTCACAATAAGAGTTGTAGTACTGATATATATTTATTGCGTAATCACCTTCGAGTTCCTCCATCAGTTTCCGTAGTGTAGTGGTTATCACGTTCGCCTCACACGCGAAAGGTCCCCGGTTCGAAACCGGGCGGAAACAACATTTTTAAATTTTTGTTGTAAAGCAGTGTGGCAGGATCAGATATAAGACATTTTAAAAAGAGAGGGATGGATTTACAGTAACACATAATAAACAATGTCAGTATGCATAGATTTCAGTACGAATATAACCTCAATAAATTCACAATAAGGAATTATGTGGCAGCACAAATACCCCTTTTGGAACCAGTTACCTCTCGTAGTATGGAGGACGGAACATAACATAAGTATACATAAATAATAATAATAACAGGTGACTCGATGCAAGCAAAGGCCCTCGTTGTTGCTTCATCTTTGCGGGTGTTCTTTGCAGGCCAGCTAACAGTGTAAAACAACTTTTCCTCTGACATGTTGTGGAAAGTATAAAGTAGTAGAACTCGAGGATATATACACATTGTTATAAAGTACTACAGTAGGCTACTTAATTAAAAACACTGAATCATGCAGAAAATGAACACACGTTTCTACCTGTGTTCAAAATTATTAATTTGTATTCAGAGTTTCTAACCATTGCAGTGTTTTCAGAGTATATCTAACAGCAGTTTATTGTAAACTAATACGGGAGTTAATGGTAAACGTACATGGTAGTTGGTGTTAAATTATATATCTTATATGGGCATTCATGTAAACAAACACACACAGAGGCTTTCGGCTCGAGGAACTCACGGCAATTTCCACTCGCCACGTCAACAAAAACCAATAAACTCACGCACACATAAACCCACATGAACTGTAAGCGACTCCATTTCGTAATTCATCCCAAAGTGGCGTCTACATGCATTATTTAATATAATTTACCTTATTACCTTGGTCGTTATGTCCAGAGCTGAAGTAGATGTGTGCAGTCACTCTGCTTTCTCCGCCAGCCAACAGCTCCACTAGCGGCCAAAGATATATAACATCCGTAGTGGTTTATCACTACCATAGTGATATGAATGAAAAGCGTTTAGGGAGTTTTAAACAATTAACCAACAGCGCCATCTGCTAATTGACTTTTGTATGGTGGATAAATAGGGTACTGCAGCGAGTGCATTTCACCAATTCCTCGTTAGTATAGTGGTCAGTATCCCCGCCTGTCACGCGGGAGACCGGGGTTCAATTCCCCGACGGGGAGGAAACTTTTTTTTTAATATATGATATAATTATGTTTTTCCATGCAGCTCTGTTAGAGAAATACCAGCACATCATCACCAGTGAGTTTTAACCGGACAGGAATTTATAAATGTTGTAAAATTATTATTAATCTCTGTGCATCTTCGGTGAAGAAACACCATTTCTAAATGCCAGATATAATATGGTAGTTTACTAAATATCCAAACCTTCCATAGAAATAGTAAGGCTTATCTCTCTTAACTTGTACCATTCATTCTCTATGGTAGTTCTTATCACTACAGGTGTCATATATTTTAGGCCACAAATGGGATTTTAGGAGCGCTGTTTCCCCCTTAATGAGACACAGGTTGCGTTCGAATACTCCAAAAAAACAGCTCCTAAGTTCTAACCCTATCGTCTATTCCTTGACCTCGGAGTGAAACGTCATGGGGTTAAGGGATAGTGGATAGGAGAATTCAAAAGGATTTAGGAGAAGAGACTGCGGCACTTTAGAGAATCCGACTGCACTTTCACTATCCGACGTGTTTATGATGCGCCAGCAGAGGTCATAAATGTGCGCCTGCTGCTGTGGGGAAACTATGGAAACTACAGTTTTCTATACAGCGGACTACAACATGGATGTTTAATAAGAACGAGGGACTACTGT